GGGGAGGGGGGGGGACTAAATAATATGCATAGATTTCACAAATGGGTAGATAAAAGGAACAAAGAAAAGTGAAAAACCTAGACAGATAAATAGGCACGAAGGGAGTATAATATGTTACAAAGTACTAACATTTAGCACCTTGAAACACTAATAAGGTAAAAGGAAACTGACTTAACTTTCATTTCGAATTAATCAATTAATGAATAAAAACATGGATATTTGAAATATAAATTTACAAACAATAAATTAAAAAACAAAATAATTAAATACCAAGAACAATGAGTTGAAGTGTGTGTTTGGCATTAACCTTGGCATTTTGAAAAGTATATTTAGTAGTAGCCTTTAGAGTTTTAAAAGTTAATTTGCACCATTAAAAAACCATCAAAACTGCTAATGCTAATTACAACAATGCTCCCAAACAAACACAAAATGAAAAAATATTTAACAAAATAATTATTTGCATACTTTAATATATTACACATATTTTCACTATTTTTTATCTTTCTTTGTTAAATCAATGAATACTTAATTTTGAAAATTTCAATTTACAGAATAATTCATTTTAGTTGGTGTCTTTATTTATTATTTTTAAGTTTGATGTTAGAGCCAATTTAGTTGCGATATAGACTATATAAAAGATACTAAATTTTTGAGTATTTAATTAAAAGTTTCTCATAATTCCCATCCTTCAAGCTCCGAATTATGTTTGTGTGTGTGTGTGTTTTCTTTGTTAGTATGAATTTCATAAAAGTCAGCATATGATTTATGGAACATGAATTCTATTTGGCATTTTTTATAATCCCTCCACCCAACTATTTTTTGGGACAAGGGCATGGCAAACAAATTTAGGAAAAGTGGAATTGTGTGGTTGACTTTAAATTGGTAAAATATGATTTGAGTCAAATAAATCATACCAAATATGGTATGAGACAAAATTTGGACATAACAAAATGGAAACAAAACAAAACAGTGACACACAGGGAGTATCTTATTTGTCCTACTTAATGGTTTGCCAAAATGAGCTTTTTAGAGTCTACACTAATTCTTAGTATAATTGGGTACTATTCTCTCTTTAGACTACTAGTATGTTATACAAGGACGCACCAGCCATTTGCTTTAACAGCTACTATTAAGTTGCACATAATGCAGAAAACCATAGATGGATGAACAGTTAATTGAAAGCAACTGCATTTCAGAGGGGGGAGTAAGATTACATTTACGCAGCACATTTTCTTGATACTACTTTTATTTATTTATTTATTTATTTTATTTGTTTACTTAGATTAGGTTAATTATAAAGAAAAATGATGAGTGAATGTACACCAGCTAGAATTGAAACTAAAAAAATGTTTTAAATTTAAAACTATGATTTTCACGCTTCCGCCAACTATTTATTTCAGTTTATAAGTCATTTTAAACTTTATAATCTAATATAGTTCACCAACTGTTTAATTTAATAGTAGTATCAACTATAACATTCATGAGCTACTCCATCTATCCCCAAATAAACTTCCCACTTTCCTATTTGGTTTATCTCAAAGGTTTTGTTACTTTTAAGGAAAGCATGGAATGGTTTTCCCGCTGCTTTGCATAAATCTCAACCGTATAATTTCACTATTTTTTAAATTCAGTTTCCGATATTTAATTTGGGACACAAGGAGTCTTAAAAATATGAATAAGCCAACATTAAAATTATACATATACTTTACTACACAAATCTTTTATATTTGATTCGTATTAAGAAAGAGTCTTGTTTAATTTTATAAATTGAAGTTTTAAGCCATTGCATATTTGGAAGTCTTTTCCGAACCCATCAATGACATTTCCAATGAGTCATATTACGAATCTATTTTTAAAATTTAAATATGATAGTTTTTAATTACTTTTTAAAATATTTAATATGTATTGTGTAATTCTTATTTATTGTGACTTTTTTCCTCATTGTTGGCAATATCTCTAGCTTTCATTTTTTAAATTAGTTTTTAAAATTAAGTACACAAATTTATATCTTTATAATCTATTCTTTGCAACACCGGGGTGCTATACAAATGCCTTTAGATGCACATTTAGGCATACCTTGAATAACATGCATGCAGGAAATGAATACTTCCACACGTTTACGAAACAATTCCCTTTGCTCTTCCCAATTTGTTCTCTTCTCCTCCTCCGTATCCTTAGGCAATTCACTTGCATCTTTCTCCATCAATAGATTCCACATTCTGATTGTTTCTGGATCCAGATCTACCTTGGGTACTTTTTGTTTCTTCTGAGGATCCATTTTCTTTTGGTAGGGAAGTATTGCACCTTGAAGATTTCTATGCCGCACTATCTGCTGGCATTGCTCGTTTATTTGCAGCCTCTCCAATAGCTGGATGATTGACTCAATGTCACTCACTTTGGATTCAACCTGTGAACCTGTATATATAAAAAGCCAAATTAGAGTACATTACTTGCCGCCAATGTGATCAAAAATATTAAAACTATAATGAAAATTTGTTTGTGTGATGGGTAAATAACTTTCTTGATGATGAAAAGAAGATCTTGCCTGTTCCTGCCATGACATTTTTACGATGTACACGACGTTAACATTAAATTTAGGTTGTGACCCTGCACCTGCAGTAAACTTCAAATTCAAATTAAGAGAACACAAAATGTGCACAAGGATACAAACAAATTTAAGTACGAGTTATGTTAGTAGTACTCTGCGCAATTGGCAAAAGACCTTGCTGAAAAGTAGCTTCTATCTGAGGAGAATAGATTTTAAGTTTCACTTTTTCATCTGATCCGGCAGCAATCATGTATGCCATTAAAATAAATATGCATATTACAGTTAAATGATGGGGATACTACAAAAATAAACATTAGCCCTTGAGAAATTACTCTTGATGGTTGGAATGAAAGCTTTAATCAAGTGGCACTGAATATCAAATAGCTTTCCATCGTGTAGGAACTGATTTTCAGATCCAAATTTAGACTCTAAACCTGCAATAAATTTTCTATTTTAAACGTTAATTTTAAATTAACGTTAAAATGGTTTAGTCAGGACGCACACAAATGAACACAATTTCTACCAGAAGCAATCTGTTCTATTAGCCCAATATTAAATTGAAGAGAGGATTCAGTACGTGAGGGATCCCCTTTGGTGTGTGAGAAAGCACTCTCAACGGTTGGGGTTAAAGCTTCTTTTAGCTGGCAGTCAATATCAGGTAGCTCTCCATCTTGTACATGACGAGTTTCAGATCCAAACTTAGACTCTAAACCTGCAATAAATATTACGGAGTATATTTTAAATTTAAACTCTTAACTCAAATTAACACGGTACTATTTTACAGTCAGGATGCACACAAATGAAGACAAGTTCTACCAGAAGCACCCTGTGCTATTGGCCCAAGATTTTCTTGAAGAGTAGGTTCAATACGCGAGGGATCTTCCTTGGTGTGTGAGGAAGCACTACGTCTTATCTCTAGATTTTCTTGGGGAGTGGATTCAAGACATGGGGATTCCTCTTTTATGTGTGAAACTTCAAGAACAATTTGTTTCACATTAAAATACAGATTACTGAGTTCAAGATAGGGATGCTAAAATAATAAAGATAAACTCTCAGGATATTACTGTGTTCAGCATGGCAGAGGAGTTCTGAATCACTACTATTCTTCACCAGTGTAGAATGTGACAC